AATCCAACACAACCAGCACATTCACTTCATCCCCCTCGTCTGCTTCAACCGTTCCAACCGATGGTAAGAGTACTGTTTTGAGCACAATTTTGAGCACTGCACCAAGCACAACACCATTGTTGCATGAAACTTTCACAGGCACTGCACAAACTTCATCTGAGCCTTCAACTACATTTTCGTTGCCTAAAATTTTCGAACGAGAAAAAACTACTGAGATTCCAAATGGTTCAGAAGACTTTTCAGATGTAAGCAATGGAACACCCACTAATGTTGTTACAGTAGAAGGTCATTCTAGTAGTACGACAGATGCGGGGGTTATGGTGGAGATTGAAGTGCCGGAGGACATGGTTACTTCGGAAACGATGACACCATCTGACCTCATAAGTTCAACAGCGAAAGGTGTTAGCTCTTCTGCAGTCCCTTCAGAACTATTTATGTCCAGCACTGCTCCATCCGAGAGCACGGAAGCCTCATCAACTCCAAAAGAGTTAATTACCACAGCAGATATAACTCAAGCTTCCACTATTTCCGAGAAAACGATGACCACCTCGGAAAATGCGGTGAAGGAAACTTCTCCTTCACTTTCTACTACAAGTGTATCCGCTGGCTCCAGTGCGGTATCTCCTAGAGTCACAACTCCTTCCCAGCGGTCAACTTCTGAGTTTTCTCGAGCGGTATCAGGCCAACCACCTTCTGAATCAACTCCTTTATCCATTGGCAAAGAATTTCCAGGTTCTAGCGTAACCACCGCTACTCCCAAAGAGCATGTCTCTAGTGCTGCTCCCGAAATTGATGTATTGGATCGATCAACTTTAACTACGCCTATGCTGACGGTAACTGAGGTTGCAGCAACCAGTCAGAGGTCCCTCCCTTCGGAGAAGTTTAATGCAACTACCGAAGAACCTAAAACTTTCCCAACTGCGAGCACGTCAGAACGGGACGCCGAGCCCACTGGGACACCAAAATCTTCTATTTCTCCCTCAGAAGTTGGGCCAAGTTCTACAACACTGAGCACAACAGTCATAA